GCCCATGTTCTTTGATCAACAACACACACGTGGCATTTCGGGAGGTGCGTACACTTAAACCGACCTACGTGAACACTTTCATGAGGTCATGTTTGTTTAATGCACTAATATGCTGCACCACAAAAATACGTATCAATACACAGAATCGTCTAAAATTTTGTGTTTTGACATTCAAAGTTTTAAACCATGTACTTGCATTTATCTTATTCGTTATTTTTCTCTGTAGATTCTATTAATTAGAAACAAAAAAATATAGGGGCAATTAAAAAAAACCACTTTTTGTGTGTACATTTGCAATAATACCATTTAGGGTGTTCATTTACAAAAATGCCACTAATTATAGATTTATAAAACCTATATCTTAAAATTCTAAACCCTAAAAAATATTTTGACACCTAAAACCTCCTAAACACTCAAAACTAAACCCTAATAGAACATAATTAACCTAAAAATAAATAATATAAATTTTTTTTTTTTGAAAAAGTGGCATTTTTGTAAAAATTTCAAAAGTGTAGTATTTTTGTAAAGTGGCATTTGAAAAGTGGCATTTTTTGAAATTTCTCAAAAATATACAGAAAAACGATTTTGCCAAACTTTGTATTTCTTACATGATATTATTTTGTGATCTTTATAACTTCAAGTTTCAATTTTTCTATTGTTTACTTCAAATACATTTTTTCAGTTAATATTAAGCCAAGAAAAAAGGACATATGTTTCGAAAAGATAAAAGTGGAAAACGACGTAGACTCGAAGTGTGAGCTGTGGAGGACTAAACACAAAATCTCAGATTTTAATACATTGGAGAAATATATGGCAATGTACTTTTGATTCATTAGATGCAAATTCCTTGAATGTATGTTGAAAAGAAGCGACCATTTTCGTAAAATCTTCTAGAAGAACTTAGTTGTACTGTTGTAGTAAAATTGAACTAAATAACATTTTTATAAATCCAATTAGTAATATAAATTGGTGAAAAAGTTATTGGTAAGAAATAATAGTGGGTACTAACGGAAGATTATAGACAATATGATGTAATAGTAAAACATGGTGGTATGACCAGAAATTATTTTTTATATGGGACAATTACAAAAATGCCACTTTTTGTGTGCATATTTGCAAAAATGCCACTTACGGATATCTATTTACAAAAATGTCACTAATTATAGATTTATAAAACTTATATCTTAAAATTCTAAACCCTAAAAAATGTTTTGACACCTAAAACCTCCTAAACACTCAAAACTAAACCCTAATAGAAGATAATTAACCCAAATATAAATAATATAAAATTTTGTTTTTTGAAAAAGTGGCATTTTTGTAAAGATTTCAAAAATGTGGCATTTTTGTAAAGTGGCACTTGAAAAGTGGCATTTTTTGAAATTTCTCTTTTTATATAGTTATATTCGGATTGAAAAGAAATGATAGTAGGTTATACTAAAATGAAATATTTGTAAAACATATATTAAAATAGATATTATAGATATTAACTTGATACACAAGTTATTAGAAGATATGTGTATATCTTGTCTTTTGTCAAGTTTCCTTTAATTAGATAATTCCCATTCTTGTAAGGATTCGTTCTTGTATAAATATGGACCTTTGGTCAAGTCAATAAACAAGTCAGTTCATCAATATCTCTCT